GGGAGGGAGGCCAGGCAAGCTGAGGAAAGAAGTCAGAATCTGATATACAACACATCAGCACAGAAAACAAACAGACCTTAAAGCAGAGTCCTCTTCTGACAAGTCTTCCGTATCTGCCCAGGCATCATCTGAACCACCTATAAATAGTCATTTAAAAAGGGAACAGAAAAGCAAGTTAGCAGTCACATATTGCGATGAATTATAGCAACTGTGGTTTGGGACTAAGAAAGCTCTTTTTATGGTCCAATAATTCTCCCAGGCAGGGATGGGATCCGACCGGTATAACTACCAGTTTTGTTGCTCTGTGTCGTGTGCGCATGCGCGAGTCGCGTGAGTGCAATTTACGACCTGCTGAGCTGCCCGGACAGCTGAGCAGCGCTGCGTGCAGGTGCGCAGAGGTTGGAAAAGCCCCTTTTTCCCTGCTTTTTCAACCGCAGCTGTGCCGCGCAAAGCAGCTGCGGTTGAAAAAGCAGGAAATAAAGGACAGGTAAGAGCCCAGGCGGGCAGGTGGGCCAAAACAGCAGCTGATACAGAACCGGTTCTGTGTCTGCTGCTTTTCAGAGCTACCAGTTCTGTAGAGCCGGACAGAACCGGTGGAATCCCACCCCTGCCTCCCAGGTAATTTCAGACTTCCCATCAGTTCAGCATATTAAACAATCCAAGTGGACTTGCTATTGTGAATGAGTCAAGTGAGATCATCAGGGCTTTTGTCAACCTTAGCGACTTTAAAATGTCTGGACTTCAACTCCCAAATTCTGTAGCCAACATTGCTAGCAAGGGAATTCTAGGAGTTGAAGTCCAGACCTCTTAAAGTTGGTCAAGGCTGAAAAACATTGCCGTAGAGTCGTGGTCTCCAAACTTGGCAACTTTAAGACTTGTGGACTTCAACTCCCAGAATTCCTCAGAGGATTCTTACTGAGCCATCCCATGAAGCCAACGAAATAAACTGGGTTAGGTTTTGTTTTTGATGCAAAAGATCAACAAGTTTGCCCCTGGTGGCTAAATCTAGCCACAAAAGTTTCTTTGTACATCACAGGAACTTCATCTTGAAATAACTAACAGCTATTTACATATAAACATTGCGTGCATTAACTTGTGATTTGTTTTAACGTAATGCATACACAACAGTAAACTGCATTTTACAAGCCACAGGGCCTGGATTTATACACAGCACTAACTCAAACCTAGCAACCCATATTATTATTACTTGTTTCTTCTAGCTTAAAAGAGCAACCACCTACTAATTTCCACAGATGCTCCATTTCTCTTCAATAGCATTATGAACAGTAAAACTACGCCTCCCACAAACCTCCTTTCCCTTACCTGAGAAAATGTAATTGTATCCTGTTCGCCCATAAAGTTCTCCCCACCCTGCCAGTGTGGCTGATCGGCATATATGCTGAGGAGACAAAGACCAATAACAGTACAAAGATACAGCAATGGATTCTATTCTCTTTCAGGCTTATTGCACTACCCCAAATCAAAATGGTTTTGCTCTGAAGCATTCTAGCAAGATGGTTGCACAGCTTGCAACACAAATTTCATTCCTTACCACAGTAATCCCAGTGCCAAGTTCCTGCACTTCCTTTCCCATTCACTCACGCAATCGCGCTTAGCGGTGCTCTTTTAATGTTTATCAACTCATTATCTTTAATGAAGATGATCTCATTTAAGAAACAGCAGGAACATTTGAGAAAAAGTAATACTAAAGTTCTTAATTTTATAAGAAGAAGCTACCCTAATAACTAACTATACTCAAACAAGTCTCTTGCACTTTAGAAGGATTTTAACCAACTCTAAAGCAATGATAAGATTTCAAGTCTGTGGAGATTCATCCAGGCCATGGTTGTCCCAAAGGTGCTTTTTCCATAAGGCAACTGGACTTTCTGGTTTTTCTTTGAAGAAAACTTCAAAGAAAAACCAGACAGTCCAGTTGCCTCTTGAAAAAAGCACCTGTAGGATAAGATATCAAGGTATCCATAGCTAATGTGGTGCAGTGGTTAGAGTGCAGTACTGCAGGCCACTTCTGTTGACTACCGGCTGCCTGCAATTGGGCAGTTCAAATCCCACCAGGCTCAGGGTTGACTCAGCCTTCCATCCTTCCGAGGTGGGTAAAATGAGGAGCCAGATTGTTTGGGGCAATAGGCTGACTCTGTAAAACCGCTTAGAGAGGGCTGTAAAGCACTATAAAGTGGTATATAAGTCTAAGTGCTATTGCTAATGGGAAAAGGAGTGCAAGCTGAGTGGAAGTTTCTAACAGGTGATCCTCAGCTTATGGTCAGTTGCTTAAGGATTGTTCACATTTACAACGGCCACAGAACTGGTGCTTTGCAGCCTATAAAGCACCCCCTGGCTATTTTAAATGGTCACATTGCACTGTTCCCTCTTGGTCACATGACCACATGTGGGTGCCTCAACCATAATAAGTTATAACCATGTTTCTGATCCTAAGGACTACCTTCACTGTAAGTATACACGCAAACAATTGTAGCAAGGAACAAAATGGAACACTACAGGGGTGGGGGTGGGAGCCCCAATGTGGCTACACAAAAAGCTTATATTTAAAATTTGAGAGCAGAAAAGAAGATGCATGCAGGAGAAATGGGAAACAGGCCAGGCCGCAAGGGGAGAGTATCAGGGGTGGGATTCTACCAGTTTGCACCTATTCGCTAGAACCGGTTGTTAACATTCTAAGCAGTTCGGAGAACCGGTTGTTAGAAGAAATTACTGGCCTAATCCTGTAAGGAAGGCAGGAAGGAAACATTCTGGTGTTGCTTACAGAAACTGCCTCTCTGTTAACCCTTATTACATTCTTGGCAGGACTAGACTTCCTGTCTCAGGAACTTCTCTGGAGTATTTTTCCCCCTCCTTTGCTGGTACTTTGCTTGTGTGGAGTGACCATTCAAAGTTACAATGGCACTGAAAAAAGTGACGTATGACCGTTTTTCACACTTACGACTGTTACAGCATCCCCACAGTCAGGAGAGGCCAGACAAGGAGATGCGTGCCTCGATGTGAGTGATATTGTGAGTTGGCCACACCCAGCCAATAACATGACCACCAAGCCATGTCCACCCAGTCACATGACCACCAAGCCACACCTACTACCTAAGCCACACCCACAGAACCGGTTGTTAAAAATTTGAATCCCACCTCTGGAGAGTATATAGCGGAAGCCCAGAACTGCAGGGAGAGTGCCAGGGAAAGGCCCAAGCTCAGAATGAGCTGAGGTTAATTAAGGAAATTATGAATAAATATTAAAAGGCTTCTTGACAAACATCCAAAGAAAAAAAAAAGAGAGAGAGAACCAGCTATTCAGTAAAGGCAGCAAATGTTAACGGGTAAGGAAAAAATTTGAGACACCTGATGTAGATCTAAAAAAAAAAAAACACCACACCCTGACCCATCCATCCCCAATAAAACCCCTCCACGTGTCCCACCACAAAATTGTGACAAGCTGAAGGCTGGAAGTGAGAGAAGCAATAGCAATAGCACTTAGACTTATATACCGCTTTTATAGTGCTTTACAGCCCTCTCTAAGCGGTTTTACAGAGGCCCCCAACAATCTGGGTCCTCATTTTACCCACCTCGGAAGGATGGAAGGCTGAGTCAACCTTGAGCCTGGTGGGATTCGAACTGCCAAACTGCAGGCAGTCAGCAGAAGTGGCCTGCAGGACAGCACTCTAATCATTGCGCCACCGAGGCTCTTGATGGGCCCGTTTCCTCTTCTGCCTCTCTGAGGGCAGCTTCAGATGGTGAGAAGCAGGAGGAGGCTCACAAGCAGAAGGTCCTGGCTTATTTTCGGGCCTTCTAGGATTCAGTCCAGCAAAGGCTACTACGACCCATCTCCCCACAGACAGAAGCGATCAGGGTGGATTGGATTCAAATCAAGTCTATTGAAATCACGATTTAAATCGCTAGTCAAAAGGATTGATTTAAATCAACTCGATTTAAATCATAATTTTTAAAGAGCAACTGCCATCTGCGTCCTGCAAGCAGTTCCTCCTCTGACCTTCTGTTGGCTCCCCGACAGTCCCAATAGTGCAGAATATGCAGCCTCACGCTACATAACTAAGCTCCGTTTCACGCTGAATAAACTAAATTATTAATGTATCTTCAATAGAAAACTAGATAAGATTTTTTACTCCAAAAGCATTTTATTAAAATAAATTGGATAAAAATTAAAAAAAAATAAGATTTACATTTTTAAAAATCCATTTTTTGATTTTGATTTTTTTTAATGATTTTTTTTAAAAACCCTGGAAGCGATCTACGAAAGGTGTACAGCAGTGGCCCCCAACCTTTTTTGTGCTGCGGCCCGGTACCGGCATCACAAAATGATCTGCAGCCCGGTACCGGCATCAGCACGCATGACAAGGCAAGGCGAGCCGAGCGACCGGCCAGCCAGCCAGCCGTCCCCGCCACCTTCAACTCCTCCTTTGTACCTTTGTCGATGGGCTTCGCTTCGGGACGGCTTCGGGACGGTCGCTCGGCTCGCCTTGCCTTGGGTGCTGAAAGAATCCTCGCGCCTTAGTTTCGTTCAAAGCCACCCCCCCTTCGATGAAACTAAGG